TGAATCTATGATCCTCAAGGGTCCAAGTGACAGAGGCCATATAGTTTTTGTATTGGAAGGAAAAATGGTCTAACCTGCCAAAAAAGTAAAATAATTGATAGTAGTCCTAGATACGAGGTGAACTTTTGGTGAGCACGTTAAATACGTTGTTCATGAGAGAACAGGGGTACTGACAACGATTATGCCCAACGAGGGAGGACCAAGGACTACTGAAAGAAGAATTTTAATCGAAGTTGTCCACTTAAATATACCTACTCTTTACAGTACGGGGATACCTACAAGTGCTTATTATCATGAAATATAGGAGAATGCTAGATAAAAGGACGCTTTTGAAATGTGGGTATACCGCCGCATGTTAAGAATATCCTGGATTGATCATCGCACTAACGTATCGACCTTAAAACAACTTAAAGGAAAGGATATATTGCTTAAACAAATACAACAGAGATATTTGCAGTATTTTGAACACATTGCTAGAAAAACAGGCACGATGGAAAAACTGATAGTCAAGGGTAGAGTTGAAGGAAAAAGACCTAGGAGAAGATCTCCAAGCCGTTGGGTAGATCAAACAAAAACATTGATTAACCAAGGGTTACATAAAGCCGAACAACTAGCCCAGGACAGAGAAGGATGGAGGGAAATCCTAAAAAAACTGTGAAGGCCTGATAGTGTCATTACATCCCATAAGGGATCAGGACTGAGGAGGAGATAAAGCCTGAAGAAAAGTAATATTAACGGTAGCACGTTCATACAAAACAACATTAAGGGTGGCCATATAAGTGATCAAGGGTGTTACCCATCCACCTGATGGTCAAAATAAGACGGTTATCTACAGATGAGCAGATAAAAATATTAGCTAGGAATAGCAGCATAACGAAATGAAGGGAAGAATGGACAAATAGGATGACGTGGATGAGGGTATAATTCCAAATACCGCAAAATAGATGAAATGTGGTGAAGGAGACACTAGATTACTTACACAATTCCTATCAGAGCACGGCGTTTTCATGGCCTATCTGAGAAGGATAGCGAAGGTTTCAGCTGGAAACTGCACAAACTATGCAGTCGCTGACACTGGCGAGTACTATGTATTCGAGTGCAGAATGTTCGAAGAGAACATAAACGAATTACACTTCTATTATTTTCATTGGAAGAAGTCATTTCATTTCGTCTAACGAATATCAAACCAACTAACGCATATGGTGCCCAACTTTATACATCACATACTATAAATCATAAAGAATAATCAAATTTAACGATTTATAGGAGATTTGAATAAGGGGATGGAGAAGACGAATACTCGGGTAGGAAGGATGAAAGAATTTATTAAGGCAGACCAGGGCATGGGAAGGGCTGTAGAGCTAACTGATGATGATGAGTTATCAAATTAAATCTATTTTGTAAACATGACAAAATGTAAAACCAGAAAAATTTGTCTTAATTTAGGACCATAAATTGAGTCTACATCATTATTCGCTTGTATTATAGTTTATTATCTTATCTTATCTTGAAATTAATAAAACTTGAAAATAAAATATGAACTTACTTAAAAATTATTTTAAACGTACCACTAAAGAAGCAATTGGATAATTGGGTAATCAAATAATATTTTTTAAAGAGATATAATCAGTTAAAATTAAGTTGGCGCTACATGGAGCCACGCGGCTATTTAAAAATTATAGTGATAAAATCAGATCAAGCGAATAGAGCTAACGGAACCGCAGGTTGTCTAAAAGAAATAATATCTTCTTCTTCTTTTTTATAGACATGCCTCTGCCTACATAAATGTCTGTTTTTCAATGTGCCTCCAGTAATTTGTCGTTCCATCGTTTTCGTGGTCTTCCTATCGATCGTCTTCCTATTCTGAAATCGTCTCTTGTCGTCTTTACTACCCTATTTTTTGTCATTCGGCATATATGATAATTTCATTCTACGCTTCTATTTCTTATCAAGTCCTTGATGTTCTCCACCTTGCATCTATACTTCTAGCTCTTTCATATAGTGTCTTACCACAAATTTTTCTAAGCGTTTACATCTCTGCTGTTTTTAACATCCTCCTTGCCCTTTCTGTGTCAGGTCTTGTTTCTGCCGCGTATGTCATTATTGGTCTAATGACTGTTTTGTAAATTCTGCCTTTCGTTTCTTTCCCAATATTTTTATTTCTCCATATTGTTTGATTTAGGTAGCCTGCGGCTCTGTTTACTCTCCACTGTTTGATTCTCCACTTTGGTTTCGAGCTTTCTGTAGCTAGATAATGTGATGAGTAGATATTTAAACTCTATCACTTGTTCTATTATCTGACCTTCCAGCTCCAATTTACATCTCAGTAAATTTGCTGTTGTAACCATGCATTTTGTCTTTTTTGGAGAAATTAACATGTTAAATTTTCTGGCGGTTATACTAAACTGGTGCAGCATACGTTGTAAATCATCTTCACTTTGAAAGAGTAGTATTGCATCGTCTGCATAGCAGATTATTTTAAGTTGTTATTCTCCCATTTTGTATCCTTTTTTAGTTCTTCCTCATTTTATTACTTCATCCATAATCAGGTTAAGCAATAGAGGTCTTACTGAAATTCCCTGCCTTGCCCCATTTCCAGCTTTAATAGGGTAGGTTAGTTCTTCTACTTTTACTTTTATTGTGTTGTTTTGGTAGATGTTTTCGATCGTTTTGATTATTTATAGAGGTATCTTTCTCGTATATTAAGTGCATAAAGTCTTTTAATTTGACTCGGTCAAATGCCTTTGTAAGGTCCACGAAACATAAATATGCCGGTTTGTTGTATTCTAATGATTTCTCTTGCACTTGCCTCATTATAAATATAGAGTCGGTGCATAATCTTCCCGACCTAAAACCTTGTTGCGCTTCTGCTAGTGTTATCATTTCATTTAATTTATTTGTTATCACTTTGGTTGTTAATTTTAGTGTTGTGTTTAATAAATCATTTTCTCTGTAATTTTCCGGGTCCGATTTGTTTCCCTTTTTGAAGAGAGATATTAGGATGCTTTATCTCCATTCTTGAGGAATTTTGTTTTGTTCTAATATTTTTTGGATTCGTTTTAATAGTTGTTTGGTTAGATCTGGTTCTCCGTACTTTGGGAGTTCGTTCGGTATTTTGTTTTCTCCTGGTGATTTTCTATTTTTTAATTTCCTTAATGCTTTCTTTATCTCTTTCTCCTCAATATTTATTTCTTCGTTGGTCGCTACCTCTGGTGTTGGTGGTTCATTATCGTCACCTTTAACAAAATGGGGATCAAAAGTAGTCTACCCATGTTTCTTCTGAATGGGTTTCGTTTTTATTAGTTCGTTCATCTCTTTTCCTTGTCCTCTGATCATTCTCCATATTTCTTTTTGTGTTCAGTAGAAGTCGTGTTCCGTCTGTCTTGAGAAAATCTGCCAGTGTCCTTTTTATTTGTCCATCTAGTAATCGTTTCATTTCTGATTCGTTTATAGTGGTTGCATGCCTGTTGTGTTTGTTGTGTTCTGTATTATAAAAAGGCTTTCTTCTTTTCTCTACAGTTTGTCTTGACTTCCTCTTAACCATGGTGTTTTCTTTTTTGATATGTAACTGTTCGTTACTTTCCTATCTACAAGTGTTGCTGCGTTAATTATATTATTTTTGAGTTTTTCCCAGCTTTCCTCGATGTTATCGTTTCCTAATATTTCATTCCCAGCGATCTTCTCTGATATTCTTTTCCTGTTCAAGTATTCCGCGAATTTTGTATTTAGTCCTTCGACTTTGATTTTTGTTTGTGTTGGCGCCGCTCTTTTGGGTAGGAAGTATTTCAGGAATATTCTTATTTTATATAATACTAGGCTGTGGTCGCTACCTATATCTGCTGAGTTGAGGCATCTTACGTCGATTATTTTTGGTGGATGTATATCTCTGTTGGTTATAACATAATATATAATAGATATTTTTCCACGGGTGTTATTAAATGTACATTTGTGTTGGTCTTTGTGGTCAAAAAATGTGTTGTTTATTTGTAGTAAGTTGATCATCAGTTCTCCATTTTCGTTCCTAACATTCTCGTTATGTTTTTGTTTAATGCTGGGTATTACTTCATTGCCTTTTCGAGCATTAAAATCCTCCAATATTATCATCTTTTCTCTGACTTGATCTACTACTTGTTGTAATTGGCCGTAAAACGCTTCACTAGTTGTTTGAGGTCTGGGCCGTATACTCCGATTATGTTCAGATCTTCCTTCTTCATTCTTATCCTTGCTGTTACTATTCTTTCTGATATGTATTGACACTCTTTGATGTGATTTTAGTGCCTTTGGTGTATAGGTAAGGCTACACCTTCTGTGGCCCTGTTTTCTTTTGCTACTCCACTGTAGATTAGTATGAATTCACCAAAAATTCACAAAAAAATCAAAACAGAGGGTTATTTATATAAAAAACTATTAGACAAATAACAAATTAGTAAAATATAGATTACTCAACTCTTAAAAAAAAAAGACAAAACGACAAATAGAAATTTGTACAGAAAATACTAATTTTGGTCATATTAATTCAAAGCTTTAAAGACTTCTTACATTTTATTATCTACAATTGGTAAGATCTTATATACAATTGGTAATTGTCTTTAAGTAAATTATTTATCTAATTTTTTTATGTCAGTAATGCAGAGCGACTCTAATCACTTTATAATGGACCATCCCGTAGAAGCAATTTTCTCATTAAAGCGAATATTTATCTATAGGTACCTATATTATTTGTAAGCAAAAAGGAAGAGCAAAATAATATAAATAGCGTAAACATGCGCTAGCAATCGAAAATATTTCTATTAATAAATTTTTTTGGCAAATATTCAGTAAAATATCATTAATGAAATCCAACAAATACTTTAGATAATTTTTATATTTATCTTGTAACATACTTTTGAAAATTGTTTTCAATTAAAGTATAATTTTTTAAGTCTCATTTCCATAAATATCACCTAATAGTCTAAAATTGTCGTAAAGCCACTAAATCCCGAAAAAAATCATTTACTCACGTTTTCTGGCTTCTGCCACTTTTTCCGCAGCCCTTTTCTCAGCCACGAGCAGCTGTTGTATCCCTTGACTTTGGCTGGCCATATTTTATCGAAGGACGACTGGTTCTTAGGTGCAACTTCTTAACACTAAATTAACGAAAAATGCCTTCAATTGCTCTAAATTGTTGTGAAAAAGCGCGGCCAGAACGCTAGGACGGAAATTTAATTTTAAAATAGACCAATTTAAGAATGTAATGTTGGTTGCATACCATTAACGAACCGAAATTTAATTTTGTTGTAAATAGTTATTTTTTATAAATGTGCAAGATATATGTACCTACACAAAAGTGAAATATAAATATTATTTTAAAATTATATGTTATGGAACTTATAACAACGATAAAAAAGAATCTAACAATAGTAAAAACAAAAATAGAATATTTGCAGATGTACCTACTTAATCATTTTTAGTAAAACATTTCGAATTAGGCTTTTAAAGAGATATTTCTTATTTTATTTACTTTTCAACCTAATGCTATTATTACTTACAATGAATACTATCATCATACACTGAAAGTAGATAATTTAATTAAAACATTCCCCATTGCTACTCGTATCTTCACTTTTCCATTCCATAGGGGAAGGACGTCGAAGATGACGCACCTAAGCAAAATACATTTTATTTAAGGGTAAAAAATATTTAAGCTAACTTTGAATGCTACGAGCCTGTAATTTGCACATTTCTATAACCAATTTCTAGGATTATTTTTCAATTCAATAAAAGGAAGTATTTTTTATGCGGCTTTTTTAAAAAACGCTTTTGCACCATCTTACCTTCCACCGAGGGAAAGATAACGCACAGTGATGGTGAAGATGGCGCATGTAGGTATCTATATTAAAAGCGCAAGTGATATGAAAAGAAAATTTATTTTTTAATACTGAAAGTAAGAAAATGTAAACAAAGCTTTTTTAACATATTAACAAAAGTCACAAATGTAGTTTTCGGGACTTTTGGCTCCACTGCATTCTTTATGCACCCATTGTCCACAACTTGTGCATCTGAACCATGTTTCCGTCTTTTTGCCGAAGTCTCCACATAATATGCAGATATCAGTTTCACCTCCCTCGTTGATTATGTCATCCAAGTCATCGTCATTGCAAAGACCTTCTTCATCAAAATCGCTTTCTTCAGTATCGCTATCCTCCAAGATTTTTTTGTTTATTTTTTGTTTGATTATTTTTTGTACTTTCCCTTTATTTTTATTTAGTTTTAATCCTGCATCATTAACCAATACTTGTCTGGTTACTTTTTTCTTTCCTTCTTCCGACTTCGCCAGTTTTTCTTTTTTTTTATTCTCTTTTTCTTCTAAGAATTCTTTTAAAGGGGTGCTTGTTAGAAGTTCACAATGTTGCTTTTGTCGTCCATATTTTTTTTCCAATTTTTTTATTGGGCAAAGGAACTGGAGAAATAAGTGAAAGAGAAATATGTGGACGTTTGGTTATTTCATTTTGTTTTGTGGGGGTTGTGTGACGACTTTCAGGAGACTGTCGGGTGGTTGATGGACGTGGTAATTCTGGTTCTCTTATAGATGGTGTTGTTATTAGTGGAGGTGTTCCCTGAGGTGCAGGTTCAGGAGAAACATCTCTATCCAAGCTATCATTGTTTAAATTATCAGCAGGAAAAAAGTCATCTTCTGTGAACTTATCAGAGTTTAACGGAAAAATTCCGCACGTTCCGAAACCAGAAATGGCCTTATCAATATTTGCCACCTGATCATATGCTAACTTAAAAATCTAGGCGACATCATATGGAGTAATTTTATCTTCAAACTCGAGTTGCTGATCTTAGATTTCTGCAGAAAAAAATGACACATCAAGAGGTTGTAATTTGTGGGATGTGTGATGTGGAATACTAACCATTATAAGCCCATTCTCTTTGCAGTAATTATAAATATCCAGTGAAATATGGCTCGAGTGATTATCTAATAGTAACAGCACGGGATTATCTGGACTAGACAGGACTTTTTTTTGGAAATGCTTTAGCCATAATAAAAACATAGACGTATTACTCCATCCATTATCCGTGCAGTTGTAAATCGCACCGCTTGGTCCATTTTTCTGAAGCTGTGGGCTCATCCTCTTCCTGGGAAATATAAATAATGGAGGTATGTAGTTACCGGAGGCACTGAACGCCATTATTACCGTGATATTCTTCCCTCGTTCCCACGAAGAAATGATTCCAAACTGCTTTACTCCTTTGCGTCCAAGTCTTTTAGATGATTCTTTAGGAACCGTAGATATACCGGTTTCATCAACATTGTAAATGCGATCTGGCAGAAAATTATATTTTTCTTGCACTGTTTCCAAATTTTTAAAAAAGCGGTCTACTTCTATTTTATTGAAGGCTGTTATTCTATTAATGCTTCTAGCTTCTGGCTTTCTCAAGGAAATTTGAGGATTTCGTTTTATAAATCCTAGATACCAGTCTTTTCCAACCATTTGTTTATTCTTATTAAAATTGTGTTTAATTTCATTGCGTTCTGCATAATCAAATGCCATGGTTCTCAGCTCTATGCAAGTGATACCAAAAAATAAATTGGCCAGCTTGAGAACATGATCTAGTATCTCTTTTTCATGATGTGCCGAAAACAATGGGGCTTTACCAAGAGACTCTGATTTGACTTACTTTAATACATTTTTAACCTTAAGTTTTCTCCTCAATGTAGCTTCTGGTATTGAAAATGCCCTTGCCACTTCCCGCATTGTACGACCATCTCTACAAATTGCATTCAATGCTGCATTAAGAGCTGCTGCAGAAAATGATCCTCTCTGTGTTTTTCGTATATATTTTCCCATTTCTAAAAAAGAAAAAGATGCCTCAAAATGCAAAATAGACACTAAATAATAAATATTCTATACTCCATTGTTATTTAAGGTAATGAACTGAAAAGGCAAAGATGACGCACTATAACAGCAAAGATGACGCAGTCTGCGTCTACTTAGCCTGTTCAGCATAACCTACAAAAAATGGTTATCAAAATTATCCATCATCAAATATTTAACAGATAAATCCTCGCTAACTGAAAATAAATATCACCTACTCCCATGAATATGAAGAAAATCCAATGGAACCACTTTTAAACAACTTACCATTAATATTCGCAGTGTCAAAAATAACAAGAAATCAACGTGTATCGCGTTACTCTGCCTCACAGATACTAAACAGTACGAAAGCTGACCGATGAAGTTTTAAAGTAATAGTAGTTTCTAAAGGAGGGCGCCACGGATATAAAAACTGAATTTAGTGAAGTACTTGATAAAATACAGAGGTGCGTCATCTTAGACGCTGCGTCATCTTCCCCGTCCTTCCCCTACGCAGACCATTTACTCTTCGAGGTAGTCCCGTGATATAAATTTCTCAACTCGGTCTTGATTTGATTGTGTATTTTCAACTGTAGGTACTTGAATATCGGAAGTGTCTGTTGATTATCATCTTTACTTTCAACTTCTTTTTTGCAATGTTATTATTAAGAGTTCCTTTATTACTCCTCGCCGACTTTATGATTAGTAGAAGAGATGTACCATATATGGAATATCGTTTTGTATTTGGTTTGTAATTTTTTGGTAAACAATTTGTGATTCGTCGTTCACAAATACACAGTAGTCCTGTATGTATCACATTTTAATTTTAAAAGTAATAGAATTTGCATAACGAAATAGTTAGAGGAAACAGGGGAAATTCTGCGCACCTAAGGTAAAATACTTACAAAAGGTTTCTTATGTGCAAAGAAGCTTCCATAATTTAAGTACTAAAACTTGTATCTATTGGGAATGTTATTCCCATAAAAAATAGAATTAAAGTTTAATATATTTTGAAAAAAAAAAATTACTTTAAATAACTGTCATTACGCAGTTAAATAAATCTTTGTTCGACAAAAAAAAAATATTGTAATAAAGGAAATATTGTAAACAAAACAGATTTCTTAAGGACAAAATTTAAAAAAAAACATTAAAGAGATAATTTTACTTTCTGACTGTGTTTCTTCGAGCTTGGCACACATATCGATTGTATAATTAACTGCTGAGTCCCAACCACTAAATTCTGAATGAGCCCAATTCGAAAACATTACACAACGGTACCAAATTTCTTTGTCTTGTCCGAATTCACCACACACCAAAGACTTGTCATTTTCTAATGTTAGATCTACATCATCTAATTCATCATCATCACATAACTTATTCTCATCATAACTTTCAGACTCAGAATCATCAAAATGTAAGTTTCTAACTCCAGCTTTCTTGCGTACAGGTCGTTTCTTTGCTTTAGTAGCCAGTTTTCCTACGGTTCCTGTCGTTTTTTTCTTGATTTTATTTTTTTTGTCCTCTTCAGCTTTTTCTTACTATTTCTCTTTTTTTTGTTTTATTTCTAATTGCGTTTTTAGTGGAGTGGAAGTGAAAATTTCTGAGTGTTGTTTTGCACGTGATTTGAAACTTCTCTTTATAAATCCGTAAATTTTCTACTGTCTTTAAACTTTTACTGTCTTTTTCATTTTCTTTATAAATTTGAAAGGAAGAGGAGCTAGCTTTTCAATGGATATACTAGACTGAGTTTTAATATTTCCTGACGTTCCCGGCTGGGGTGCAGCTTTGGTTTGATTTCAATTTGGCATTATAAAATTGAGTCTTGTGCATAGTTTCATCACATCTCGATGGTCCCGGTTGGGGTTCAGTATTTCTCGGTGGAGTTCTCTGTAGAGTTTCGTCACATCTCGATTGATCAAGGGCCCTCTCATCATTGGTAACCTCGGTAATGGACTTACCATTACATCGTGCAAATCTCAAACTTTAGTGTGATCTACTAAGCTGAAATTATCTTCAGAGATAATTTATTAGGATCTATGGGCCATATTCCAGCTGCACGGAACCCGGATATTCCTTTGTACATCGTGTCAACTCTCAGGTATGTTCTGTTAAAAATGGAAGCACGTTCAAAATGTGTGATCTTTTTATGAGTATGAGTTCTCAGATACAAGTCGTACTCACAATTTAAAGCATTCTTTAGTGGCCCAAAAAAGTTAAGTCAAGAGGTCAAGTCAAGTCGGTGTGAGGTATGAAGGGGAAGTGAAACCATAACAATTCCACGTGATCT